CCCCCCAACAGTTTTTTCAATCTACAGAAACCTTTGAAATGTCTTTTACTTCACCTCAGTCTTACTGATCTTTGATGCTGTAAGTTCTTTAGGACCCCTGCCATGCTGTGTGTTTCTGTGTATCTCCTATCACAAAATAATTCAAACTGCCAAATAAGGACAGTTGATAGATTCCGTAGTTGTGGCATGATAGTAGTATGATACTTGAAATTAACTGGAAAACTATAAAAAGAGCTTTTTTTGCTAGATACATGCATGAATTAGACAAAAATAAGAAAATTTGTTATTGAAAGACAAGTTATTTTACAGGGGTAATCTCTAGCCTTCTCGTTTCTTCTCTTCCATGCTACTGCTAAAATTATTTTCATTTTCCTCTGTGCTTGTTACATCTTCACTTGGACTATGTCCATGCACATTTAGAAAGAGTTACTGCAGCACAATTATATAGCATATACGAGGCAGATTTAATCTAGTAAACTTGAACAGTAGATGTTGTAATGAAGATAAGGTAACAATAGTCTTCAGCATGGACTTTGGAAAGGCACAGGGGATTCCAGCTATTTATTTGGATGGAATGGGCTTCCATGCAAGACTATTATGTTTTTGCCGTGATTGTCACATGCTTTGACTATGTTAAAGCTCAGTCAGGTGTGTTTTGTACTGCTGCACTTCTTGATCACGCTGCAATGTAGATGTATCATGAGGTAATCTAAGTAGTTGCTTTCCAGACAGAATGCATGTTACTGGTGACATTTGAGTGGGTATATGAATTTATTGCACTAAATCCAAAACATCTCTTAGAAGTAAAACAGGAAAAATCAGCGCTATAATCAAAGGTCTAGCTGCAATGAAACATGCCTACATTATTTCTTATCAAAATTAGAAACAAGTAAAATGCAGTAGTATTGGCCGTGTATACATGTCTTTGTTGGGTTAGCATGGGTAACAGCGGAGTCTGTACTCCAGTTCTTGTATCTATTGGTCCTCATGGCAGTTAGATTAAGGTTAATGCAGATACATTAGTGTTTGCTTGAACCTGTACCTTCTGATTGCAAGACTAGTTCTGGCTATTGCTGTAATTCTTTTCTCTAGCATAGAGTAAATCACTAGCCCTCAAGTTCACATGCATGCATGGCCTTACTGTGCTCTTCAGTCCCTCCAGAGTCACTTTTGTTCTCTTTCCATTGTCTTTTCTTATCTTGAATTACGATACACTATGGATTTTTAGCAGTCTTTGTTGTTACCGTCTGTGGCTTCTTCCTTTTATTTATGCCCTTCCCAGCCTTTGGAAGAGTGTCCTGATTTTCACCATTGCTTGCTTTTTCCAAGAATCCTTTCAGCATCCTTCTTTTCAACAAACTCCATTCTCTGCAGCTAACATTCTTGTCCTACTAATGTTGAAGAAGGAAGTATTTTACTCCTTACAAAGTATAATATAAAATCATGGAAGCTGGCATAAAAGCTGGCATATTATTTTAGTAATCCATGTTACGGTCTCTATACACAATAAAATGTCAGCTAGCTTGAAGACAGCGCTGTAAACAACCAAATTGTTGAAAAAATATTTTTAAAACTGTTTTGAAATGTTGTACGTAAAAAAATCTGCAATGCAGGAAACCATCATAATGCAGCAAGAGAGTTGCAAAATTAAGATTTCTTTAAAAATGCAAAAGATGTATCTTAATATGTATCCTAATTTGTCCAAGGCGATATTCTTTATTTTTCTCTAATGTATATGATCTAAACAATTGACCACCCTAGTCTAAAGATGACTTGAAATTGCAACAGATCT